AGAAAGCATTAAATATTATCTCCCAGAGCGTTATGTCCTAGGGCCTAGGCCAGGGGTGTCAAACTCAATTTCATTGATGGCCGCATCAGAGATGTGTTTAACCTCGGAGGACCCCTGGCTGAGTTGGGCGTGGCCATGGTGGATGTTTGACATGTTTAACTTCTCTTCTATCTTTTCACAGTTCTTTACTATAACCATTTTCCTATCTCTTCTACCATTTATTACTTATTCTTCATATTCCACTAAAGTTTTTAGTTCTAAATTTATACCCCAATGTTTAATAGTAAATTGCTTTTCCAGGCAGAAAAGCAATTTATACTATTTTATTTTTATTATTCAACTAATAATAAAAATACAGTACCATAAATAACATGATAATATAAGATCTAACAGCAGAGGTAAATTTCCAGGATAGTAAATAGAAATGGCTGTCAATTATAGATACAGAATAGAATACAGAATATAGAATACAGAATAGATTGTTGATTGTAGATTAAATGGACCTACATTATGTAAAATCTGGCATTAAACTAGTATTAACATAGGATGTTATTTGTTTTCTATCCAGATCAGACACTTACTTGAGGCCACATAATTGTAATCCAGTCCAAGCCAGTCCTCCTGTAGCACTCTGACAACCGAAAACGGGCTACGCGGAGGAACCATGCAGCCCATTTTTGGCCTCCATGGCCTCCTGCAGCACTCTCCCAGCTGAAAATGGGCTGTGCCCCCCCCCCCAGCCCGTTTTGGCCAGCAGAGGCACCACAAGCTGGTCCTTTGAAATTTCCAGGCCGGCCCCATGGGCCAGATTTAAGCATTCCGCCAGCCAGGCCTTCAGTTTGACACCCCTGGCGTAGGCTATAAAACAAAATTTCATTCATTTCATTTTATTATATTTATATGCCGCCCTTTTCCCCGAAGGGGACTCAGGGCGGCTAACAAATCAAATCAGGGAAGGGGGGGGGAATAGCATGCACTAGGCAAGTGGTGTGTAGCCTCCCCTGATGCTTTTTGGATAATCATTCAGAGACAGGCAACTTGGTGGCTTCATATAGTCGGCCTTCTCCTGAGTGAGCAGGGCTGAAGGATCAGATGATGGAATGTATGTCCAGATGAGGCCCTGGGGGTCAGAGGAAGGGTCATATGTGGCGATAAGACCCAGGTGTGGATGGAATTGATATGAGAGTGAGGAATATGAATTCTAATAAAATATTTTCTTTTGTCTTCATTTCTTTGCCTTGACAATTAAGAGCTTTACTCCTTTCCTGTCTCTCACTGAAGAGGGAGGGGGGGAGCTGCCGCAGATAAAACTGTTTGTTCTTTTATTCTGCTCTGCAATAGGAAGGAGGGGGGCTGCACATTAACAGNAGAGCCCTTCTTCTTTGAAAACCATAAAAGAACATTTGTCTAAAATAAAAATAGATATATTCTTCAAACTCTGTGACAGGCTAGAGTGGCAGATAGTACCAAATTTTTCTTTTTGCTCTTTCTCTCTATTTTTCCTTATTCTAAAAAAATGGAGCAATACTCAGATGAAGAAAACTTGTTAAAAACCTCATGCTAGATGAATAGTTACTCTTTGCTGTTATGCTACATTGAGGATTTGAAAAATGGGCTGAAACTCTAGTTAATTGGGATAATGAATCATAGGGCCCACAGTAGTTGGGTGGCAAATGATAAAATAAAAATGATATTGTTGTTCAGTCACTAAGTTGTGTCTGACTCTTTGAGATCCCACGGAGTGTAGCAGACTAGGCCCTCCTTGCCTCCATTGTCTTCCAGAGTTTGCCCAAATTCATGTTCATTATGTCAATTACACTATCTAGCTGTCTCATCCTCTGCTGTCCCCTTCCCTTTTTGCCTTCAATCTGTCCCAGCATCAGGGTCTTTTTCAATGAGTCCTCTCTTCTCAGTAGGTGGCCAAAATGTTTGACCTTCAGCTTCATTATCTGTCCTTTCAAAGAACAGACAGGTTTGATTTCCTTTCAGATAGACTGATTTGATTTCCTTGCACTCCAAGGGGCTTTGAAGAGCCTTCTCCAACACCACAATTCGAAAGCAAAAAGTGATATTAACATTTTCCCAATATTGGCCATAACATTCAATGTTTGCATCGAGATGGTATGTGTGTGCCTTCCTGAATTTAATTTCTTTTCCATTTATTTCTGCTGTTTTTCCAATAGTAAAATGTTTACATATCGGCAATCTGAAGCTCCACATGATTTCAGTATGTGCAGTTTCTATATTGAAGGCGAAAATAATCTGTTCTGATTTCTTAGGGTTCCTGTCCCTCTAGAAATGCGTACTGGATGGTTTTTAACCTATAAAAGACAAGCGAAAGCGTCTCTTTAAAACCATTTTGTGAGATGTGTATACTCTGGCTCTTTGAAGAGGAGGAGGAGGAGGAGGAGGAGG